CCCGAGCAGGCTTCCTCGCTGCCGGGCGGAGGGTGAGGCGAGTGAGCGCTTGTCGCCGATTTGTGCTGGCTTATTATTATTATTTCCGTCCCCCGTGTCCGTGTCGTCGTGTCCCCCCCCCCCCCCCAGCCCTTAATATTTTAACGTGGGAGCCGTGCCGCCTTCTCTGGAGCAGGACGCATCTTCTGAGAGCTTGGAATAAATAAAGGAGAAATATGCCACAGCGAAGCGTAAAACTAAACGTGGCATTTCGACCCAAAAAGTTGCTTAACTTGTCTTGCAGTGTTACAAACGCGTTTTGTTTGAAGAGTTACTGATGATTGTTTTCTATGGCTATCCGAATGTGTTCAGGCTGGGAATGATGTGCGAGTTTTGGAGGACAAAGTCCTCACCAAGCACATGTGCTTTGATTTTTTTTTTTTTTAAATTTATTTTTTGCCAGGAAAAGAGCACAAACTGTTGAGCTTTTCTGTGTTTTTAAAGGAGAAACTGTGAAGAGAGATATATTGAAAGTTAAAATAAAATCCCCCAAAGTTTTGATCAGAATAACTGCTGCAGTAATTTAAAATACGTTTTCTAAACGCATTTTAGCAATTGAATTATTTTCTCAACCAAATACTTCTGTAAAACACAAGATACTTATCTCTATGTGGATACTTTTTTGATGTCAGTATCCTTTGCTTCTGTGTTTAACTAGCACAGACTGATACTAGGTCATTTATTTTTAGATGGAATACAATTTAGTTCACTTCTGGTGATTATATATATATACTGCTGCTTCTCATCTAAAATTATTCCAGCCATAGAAAAAAGGGTGAGTCAAATCTGCTTAGAACAAGAATTCTCTTCCACGTTTTTGCCCTCTTTTCAACGGTTTTAAGAAGAGGGCGTTAGTTTTCAGACACTGAATTAGAGTGTATGTAGATGAAATAATTAAATAATAAAATGTTACACTTTGTTTTTTTCCCCTAGAAATTAAATAAATTTGTATGAAGTTTTATAAATTCATAAAGGTTCATTAATACGTTTTTGTCTCTTTTGTGTGTGTTTGTTTTTCTGGAACAGTAAAATTTTTAGAAGTTATTAAGCCATTCTGTGCAGTGTTACCTGAAATCCAGAAGCCGGAAAGAAAAGTGAGTGCCCCGTTATGTTCTTACTTTTATTGGCTCAAAGATGGGAGAATATTGTGATACTCAAGTCCACACTCCAGTATAAATGCAGACAGTGGGCCCTAAAGTAGGACATATTCTTTGGAGGAGGGGGAATCTATGTTAGGGTAAAAGGTTACCATGGTGATGAATTCTCAACAGCCTTCTGATAAGTTGTTCCCCTTGCTAATTATGCTAACTAATTTTTAAAAAATAGCCTCACCTGTAGACTAAGTTTATTTAGTTTCAGCTCCATACGATTGGATCTAATTTAATACACTAGAACAGAGTTTTTAAAGAGTGTTTTTCCCTGTTGTCATGATTCAGCCCCAGCCAGCAACTCAGCACCACACAGCCGCTCGCTCACCTTCCCTGTCGCAGTGGGATGGGGGAGAGAATTGGAAGAGCAAAAGTAAGAAAACTCATGGGTTGAGATAAGAACAGTTTAATAATTTAAATCAAATAATTACAATAATTTTTAAAAATTGTAATGAAAAGGAAGACAACAAGAGAGAGAGAAGCAAAACCCGTGAAAAAAACAAGTGATACAGCCATTCACGACCTGCCAACCAAAGCCCCACCAGTCCTGAGCAGCGATCACTGCTCCTCACCCAACTCCCCCCAGTTTATATACTGGGCATGACATCGTATAGAATAGCCCTTTGGCCAGTTGGGGTCAGTTGTCCTGGCTGTGCCCTTTCCCAGCTTCTTGTGCCCCTGGCAGAGCATGGGAAGCTGAAAAAGTCCTCGACCAGCGTAAGCAGTGCTTAGCAACAACTAAACCATCAGGGTGTTACCAACATTATGCTCATACTATATCCAGAACACAGCACTCTGCCAGCTACTAGGAAAAAAATTAACTCTATCCCAGCTGAAAGCAGGACACCTGTGAATACCACTGTTGGCTTTGAGTACTGGTCACAACTCTGGGCTTTGAGCTGGCTCATTATTTTGAAAAGGCTTGCCCTGTAATTCAGGAACCACAAATTTGGTTCTTCTTTTCCCACAACATATTTTCTACTCCCATAGCTGTGATTTGCTTTGATGAAGTGGGAAAGTGTTCTGTGATACGGTTCAGGTAATTGCTGCCTGTTCACCTGCTGGATGTGACGCTTTTCTTTGTTCTGAAATGAATGAACTGAGTTCATTTACAGCTGATCCGCTATTCCTCTATCCCTAGAAACTCCTCCCTGTTCTCGGCACATTTTCTAGATTAAAATTAGTTAATTTCTACAGATCAGAGACAGACCTGCCTTGCCAAAACAAAGAACACCCTCTCCCCGCCCCGCATTTTTTACTTCCAAAACTCAAGCAAGCCCATATCACCCAGGTGACAAAGGTTCTAATTAGAGTAACAAATTTACCTAATATTCATTGTCATTACTGGCATGAAAATTCCTTAAGAGCGAAATGTTGATTTTTTTTTTAATTGTTAAAAGGAAATGCATAGCTGGGAACATGATGCCATCTGAGAGAATCTCTCTTGTTGATGAGAACTTCCTGAAGGTTAGGACTGGATGGAGAGAAGTTTGTGCCAGTAACCGTAGCTGAGCCTGCTAGATTGCATGGAGAAGATAGGGTAAAAACTGCTGATTATTCCCCTCTGGAATTGATTTTTAAAAAGATTGGGATTTATTCCCTGTCTCTTTGCTCCATCTGTCTTTCCTTGTTCCTTTCCAGTATCTTTCCCTCTTGGGACAGGTTTCCAAACAAATTAATTGGGTCAGACAAAGGCATCTTCCGAGCAGGAATTTCCAGAGCCAGACTCTATGCTAAGATTTGGATGCACCAGGTCTGGGTGGAAGGTACCCATCTGCAGCAGTGAAGTGCAATCTTCTCATGCTGATTTATGGCATATCTGTGATCAGTTGGTTACATCCATCCTATTTTTGTCTAGTGAAGGGGATGGAAAGAGGAAGCTAAGACAAATCTACAGATACTGTTGTTTCTGTAAAGTTCATCGACGGTTGTGATTTTTCTCCATCTGTGTGTTTTTTTTTTCTTTTTTTTTTTTTCCCCTCTTCCTTTTCTATTTGCCAGAGAGGAAGAGGGGCTTCATCTGCCCATGTCCTCCATCAGCCCATGAAGGATGCCCAGAGGGGTGCCGAGATTCCCGTCCTTGCTATTTGGGTCACTTTGTCTTTATTACTATCTAGGTCGCTGTCTAGGCAATGACTGCCAGTTGCCAGCTTTGTACAAATTTGAAGTGAAAATATAATTTGGAACATCTTTCCTAGACTGAAGAGCCCTTTGACCATTTTAAGTTACGTTCCTTGCTTGTCTGTCAAGTGGCCTGGGTCATTCTATGTAACTGTAATTCTTTGCTATTTGTTGTTTTCTTGCAAGCTGTCACCGGCAGACATTGTTAGTGATGGTTTTAGTGGGTTGGTTAAGGCCAGGACAAGAAATGAAGGTAACAAAATAGAAAAAGAAATCTATTTTCTCTAAATTTGTATCTATTTTCTCTTAACTTGATTGTTAAGTGAAGATGAAGTTTTGATTCAGTTGGGCTCTCACTGAACCGTTTTGCTATTATTGTTGATGAGGGAAGTGAGCTTTTTCTGACACTCGAGGGTGTTGCTTTTGTGTTTTGGCCAACGTGATTAATAGAAGCAATTGCTGCTTTTTGTAGTTAGTAGTATTGGCTCATGTTTCCCTTATATGCACAGATTTTTCTAAGTAGAAGACGCTGTTCAGAACTCCAAGAAGAGTCCCTTTGTTTTTGCAAGTTTTAAGAAAAATGTCAAAGGAATAAAATGCCCAGCTGAGTCTGATCAGATGATGAAGTGTACTGTCCCTGTGTTTGTTATCATTTGTGGCTGGAATATTTTCATCTATATTTTGCTGTTCCTGGCATATGGATTTGGATGCCTCCTTTTTGTGTCTTTTTGAATCACAGAGACTGTTTTCCTTGTGAACAACTGCGATTTGGGGGGTGCAGAATTTCTCTAAGGCTCATATTCACGGCAGCTACAGAGAGAGCCAGAGTAGTAGAGCTTGGCTGATGCCTCAAAAGCTAAGGTTAGCTGTTGGGCTGCAGAGATAATTTGCTTAAGCGTTTTTCTTTTTAGAAGTCTGTACTTAAAATTGGAATTGTAGAATTCAAACAGCACTTGGTAAAGTGGGTCGGCACTGCATGAAGTCTACCAGTAGATACTGTTTGGATTTATTTGCCGCTGTCACTATTTTTTAAACTTTGTACTGTAAGTATTTTTAGCATCTGGCCTCTTTTAAGAGTGAGGCAGTATCAGTAAATAAATTAAATTACTGGGATTATTTTGCTTCTAAGTAAGTGCATGATTTTACTTACAGAGATGTAGACTACTGGGTTTTATTCTGCTTGAGAAGCAGTGCTGCTGTGTTGGTTTGTAGTTTCTCATTTGTGGGTGTTCAGTACCTATAAAACCAGGCACTAATCCTTTTTCTTGTTACTTCTCTACAGGCAGTTTCAGTGGTCGGAGGCAGAAAGCTAGCATTTCTGCCGTGTCTGTCTTGCATGTTAGTTCATGTCACGTTTTAGTAGCTGCTGTACTCTTGCCTACAATGAACACTTACCCTAATGTTTACAGTCCATGGAGGAGAGGTGGGAACTTGAACATAACGCTGCATCTTAGCACTCTCTTGTCTCTTCAAGTGCATTTCTTTCTATCTCATGCTTTGAGTAATCCTCTGGTTCAAGCTTAAATCTTGTGATTCTTCTCTTCTTGCACCTGGCACTAGTTACAGTTGCCTCAAATGTTGTGGCCCTGAGATTCTCTTCAACGTATTCGTGACTAATGATCATTGCTCTGACATTCTTCTCAAAGTAATACATAACCTACATTGATAAAAATATTTTGGACGGAAAAAAAAAATCTTTAAAAATTATTTTGTGGTCTATGTCCATGAACATAATGGTGAATTTAAGCTTCCTCTAACACCCTTTGAAGAACTTAATTCTAAATATTTTGAGTTGCTGTCCAAAACTCATGGTTCTTCTGGTTTTTATCACTTGTCTTCACAGCAGTTAAATCTCTTTAAAAGCTTTATAGTGCTTTAGTTTAATAACTTCCAGCCTTACAAAACAGTGCCTCCAATCTGTTGAAGCCTAGAGTACTAATCACTGAAGATAATTTTTTTGCATTAATCTTTTCTGTTTGTTCTGGTATGTCCATGTTTTTAGCCATACTGTTGCTTTTCTGTAAATACCCACTACATTAGAATACCTTTTACTGACTGAATGCCAGCTATGCTGTCTGCCAAATCCCATATAAATTTTCTTTGACTACACAGAAGCCCATGACTCTATCTCTGTAAAACCTGAAATCATATTAAAAATAAATTCTAATGAGAAATGATGCCTTCTATTTCAATATCTTCGCATTTAATTCTGAATGATACAGCATTGAGTACTAATGTGAGCGTACAGTGAAAATGCTACATACAATGAACACGTTAATCTCTACAATCTGTTCTGTAGATCCAGTTCAGAGAGAAGGTACTATGGACGGCTATCACGCTCTTCATTTTCTTAGTATGCTGCCAGGTAGGTATTGATGTTTTCTGTATTTCAGAAAATGTGTGTTCTGTATATTGAAAACAGAATGCTAAAAGTATGAGGACTTTGTGTTTCATGTTGACCTACCAGATTAAGTTATGTATTTTTACGATTAAGTATTTAAAGTTCAGTTAAAGAAACCTGATTCTCTGAAACAGTTTTTTTTTATTGGTTGTATATGTTTTCAGAAACTGATGCTTTCTGTTTAGTCTAAAATACGTGATGTTTTTCCTTCTTATGTGAAAGGTCCTATCAAATGATGATACTGGCTGCAGGAGAAACAGCCCAGCTAATTTATTCATTCATTCAGTAGTCTAAACAAACTGAGCATATTATGCATTCTTTACCCTCTGTTCATAGGTAAATTTAAACTTTAGCAGTAACAAGTTTGAAAGTAAAACAAAGTGACTGGTTTTACCTGATTTCTCTTGAACAAGCTGACAAGTTGTAAAGATTGCAGATAAATGTTTTTCTGAGGTGTTTAAGTTGACATTTAGAACTTGTCTTATTGTGATTATACTGGCAAAGATGTTAGCTAAAACCCCTCCAAAACACAAGTCTTTGTAAACATTTACTTGATCTTTATTACTCACAGCTGCAGGAGTTCCTAGAACATCTACCTGGGTTGTAAACAGATAGTGTTGTGTTTTTTTTTTTTAAAGAATACTTAGATATTGCAGAACATGAGAATTAATGTATTACTTGATAGATACTTTTTAGAACTTTTAGACGTCTTACAACATTTGAAATGAAGTGTACGTTTTCAGAATCCAGCTTTTTAGGTTCTATTTATTAACTTACCCATTCCAGACTCTGGAGTAGTAGTTTCATAATTCTGTTTACAACTCTGAACAACTCTGTTGAAAGGCTAAAAAACCCCAGCTCTGGTACCTACCTGGGTTTTTTGGAAGGAGGAAGCGGGAATGATACTAGAGCTAGAAGAACATGTAGTTTATCTGTGTTTCCTAGCTGCTGGATATATGTGTAAGTAAGGTTTTTCAATCTATACAAAAGGTTATAGTAGTTGAATAGGAAATCAGATGGTGCAGACTAGAGTTTTCAGGACTTAATCTGTAAGATTGCCTGGATTCCTTGTCTACTGCTTTTGTGATTAAGAAGAGTTTTAAAGAGCTCAAAATCCCTTGGTGTTGACATATAGAACATTGGAGGTTTTGTACACACTTGGCTAACTTTGACGGTTCCGTGCAGGATGTTTTAAAACGTATTTCCAGCTGTAGAATTTGAATAGTTAAACTTGCTGGAGGAAGATACTTACATTGTAGTTTATGCTGTATCTTTTAATTTGTACTGAAAAGAAATTCTGTTTAGGACTATTAAAAAAAAAACCCAACAAATCTGCTTTCTTCTGTCTTCTCAAAGATGTTTTGCTACAGTTTTCTTTTTTTAACTGAAAATTGCTGAAAAAATTTGGTGAAATAAGTAATGGAATATAACCTAATATTTTTTTCCCACTCTATCAATGATTGTCATGGCTACCCTATTTATTTTATGCTTTTTCTGTTCTTTTGGGGGGCTATAGTACTCCAGAACCACATTTGCAGGCATTTACATCTTCAACTTCAGTAATCTGGTTTACATGCACTGACTCTTCTTTCCAGGGGTTTCTGCTTTTTCCTGTAGGAGGGTCTTAGTTTACATAGTTTAGTCCTCTGAGTCATACCCCAGTTGGAGAATTAAAATAGATGGAGTCAGTATATCCGTTACTGTATGCTCTGGTTTAATTTAAAAAAAAAAAGCTGGAATAAATTATATTAAACAGTATAACAGTTGAATCATTGTGCGTTAAGCTTTCTGGATTAATGCAAGCTTTCTTTTTGTATCTGCTTAATACCGCTGTGCTCTTTGACAGATACCTTTGTTTGGAATCATGTCATCGGATTCTGCAGATCCGTTCTATTGGATGCGAGTCATTCTTGCGTCAAACAGAGGTTAGTAGATTATTCCTTTCTCTGTTTTGTAGCAGTATAAACAGACCAGGGGAGAAACGGTTGGCTGTTGAATTTCATACAGCCCGGATGTCATGTTGAAACGCTTTGTAAAGTTCTTAACACAGCTGTAATTAAAATTCAATGATACTTGAGGAGAATGTCATCATAGGAATGGGGTTTCCTTTGATGGGCAGACAAGATTAATCTTGATTCTCAAGTTTCGGGATGATTCTGTTTTGAACTGTAGAGCGGTCTCTTTCTGATTAATATATGGGACAGGGAATCTTTTGCTCTACCACTTATGAACAGCACTAGCGTGTGGTATGAGAGTGTCGACTAGAAAAATACCTTATGCAAGTCAGTTATGCCTAATAATATTTTGGCAACATTACGGGTGAGTAATTTTATAGGTGGGAAAACTAAGGGCAGAGATGATTGGGCTTATAGTTTAGCAAAGCCAAACTAACTCATTTTAGAATAGTCAAGTGGATCCCAACCAGATGTATAAGAAGACTTAAACTAATGCTAGAAGTCTAAAACTTAAGGTGGGTGACCTGGCATGCATGACTCTAAATGAGGACACTGACCTCATCTGTATCATGAAGTAAGAAGTAAGGAAGTAAGAAAATCAGTGAAGCCCTCTAATGTGAAGGTACAAATTATTTAGGAGTGACAAATTTTGTCACACTAGTGAAGATAATAAATTAAGGTAAATAAGTTAGCTGTTTCAAACTCTACTGCAGAATGTGCATGTAAAAATTCTGTCTCTCACTAGCAGCGTATGACAGTGTGCTAAATATGCTATCCACTACCCAGACAGCATGGTAACAGTGGCCAAGAAAAGACTAGAGAGACTGTAAAGGCAACAAAAAGCCCGAGTGGGAAAGTTAATTTACGCCTAAGTCAACTGACTAGATGTCATTGGAGGATGTGAGGTAAAGACTAAAGTTTTTTACATCCTAATTTTCTTGCTGTCAGAGAAGTAGAGATTTCCATGAGAGATGACATGACATTTAACGTAGTACTGAACAGTGTGTAGACTGTAGGATGCAAGTATGAAAGAACCACACTGTAATAATGACTTCAGTGCTTTCGCATTTTACATTTTTGTAGCAGGGAAAACACTAAAATAAATAAATAAATAAAATTGTGTAACGATGCTTAAAATTTTTAAAAATAAGAACTGAAATGAGGACTCTGATAGTTAGGCAAAAATGAAAAGAAGGCTTTAGGCAAGAGGTGAGGTGTTCAAAAACTCTTTGTTTAATTCAGATTACTTATTAAATGCTATTCCGGGATAAAAGGAAAGAGCTAATGGCTTAAGAACTGGTTGAAAAGATCAGCAGAAATGTTTGTACAAATCTGTAAGATGCCACAAATTGAATATTGCATGCAGTTCTAATCTGTCGTGCCACAAAAGATACAGTGGAGCTAAAAAAACCACTCTGGAATCTATAGAAAGATATCCTAAAAAATGAGTATTCTTTGCCATGAAACAGCATATCCCAAATGTCTTTTAAGTCTTCATCTCTGGAAAAAAAGTGGATAGGAAATGGATAGTCACTTTTTCCTTATCCTGTGAGAGGGAAGGGGCAGCCAATGGTATTATTAAGCAGCACATGTAACTTCAAGTTTCTGAATAAATTACTGTCGGAAGTTGTCAGTTTCTGAATAAATGACTGATGTATGGGAAAAGGGAAATGCAGAATGATGCTTCCCCCAGAGCAGGGGCCCCTTTCAGTGGTGGGGTGTGAGGACAGGCAAGCTTCTGGGCTGATCAGCTGTGGATATACTCTTTTCTATTTCTTTCATCTTCCACGTGACCTTACAGGCCATGCTTCTCCTGTTGCTGGTTCTTGCTGAGACTTTACAAGTCTGCAGTGTCTAAATAGTTTTTAATTGATAATTTTCTTTGTAATTTTATAATGGAACACCACTGTACTACACGTGAGAGCAGAGTTACACTTCAATGTACAGAATTGAAAAGAAATGTAAGCTGATTCTCTTTTGAATCTCCCTGGTGGATATTATGACTTAACATCAGAAAAAAAGTGAATTGTTTATGTCCCGTGTGTGACCATGTAAAAGATGGCTATGAAGTAATTTAATCTGGCTGAATTCAATATTAAACTTGTGAAATGTGTCCTTATCCAAACTTATTTTCTTTAAGGTTCCAGCTTGGGAAATGTGGAAAGTTTTATCACTTGGTAGTCCTAGTTTCTTAGTTTTCATCCAAATTTTCAACATTTAGTTTTTTTACGCTTTTGGCATCTTCAGATAGGAGTACATTTTCTGGTATTAGCTGAAGGACAAATTAAATTTCAAAAAGCAATCTCTTTCTAATGCTGTTGCTCCAAAAAGATGTTGTGGAAGAATGTTTCTGATTTGAGATGGGAGAGTATATTGTACAGGCAAGAGGGGGGCTATTTTTCTGAGTTCAATTGCTTTGTGTACATTCGGTTCTGCTCCCATGCCACGTTATAACATAACTCAAGCACATATCAGTACTTGAACTTGCTGAGAATATTTCTAAGTCAGAGCATCAGGTGGTAGTTCTGGAGTGGCAGGTGCATCAGTCTGCGGATGCAAGCAAAGTGAGCAGTGCCCCAGTTTTTATGACACCAGGTGAAGTGGTTGGGAGGGCAAACCGGGCAGGTCTGCTGGAACATACACCTATACACTGCAACAGTAGTGTGATCTGAAGTGATACCGCCCGAGTTCAAGTTGTATACAGTTGGAAGATGACACCTCGGTGACATTGCGCCGGTAGGTGAATTTGGCAGAGTACAGCCATGTGTTTGTGTTGTTAAGAACTAGTTTAATCCTAAACTTCTGTGCTCTTAACTAGAGTCAGTGATTCCAAGAGTGGCGTTCTCAGCCACTGTGGTTCTGCAGCATCATTCTTGTGGTCTTCAAAATTAAACTTTTGGAAAATGTAACAGTTGAAGCACCGAGAGAGTGAACAACCAGGGACAAGGTGCTTTCCAGTGAAAGGTTCCTCAGTATGATACACCAAAAAGCTGAGCTTCGGTGTGCATTGACCTGTAGTGTTAGCATGGTTTCACAAAAATACTTGAAGTGAAAAGCTACGCATATTCCTCATGCTGCCTTCAGAATTAGAGATTTTTGCACAGCAGCTTCCTTTTGTGAGGAGATTATGGTCTCTGTTTTGATTATACCTGTGCTGGGATGTACATGTTTGAAGCATTACGAAAAATGTTCCTTATCGGTCAGAAACCTTTGAACAGATCTAATAGCCTCAGAGTATAATTCTTTAGGAGAGATGCTTGAATGGCAATTGTATTAATTTTTCTTCCTGTTTAGGTACTTTGATGGAATTAGGTATCTCACCCATTGTGACATCTGGTTTGATCATGCAGCTGCTAGCTGGAGCAAAGATCATTGAAGTCGGTGATACTCCAAAAGACAGAGCCTTGTTCAATGGAGCTCAGAAACGTAAGCACTGCTCCAATTAAAATTAATAAGCCTATTTTTATTCTTGGAAAAGCAGCCTGCCTAAGTGATGCTAGATGTGAGATTTCTTTGGTAGGTGATTTCAGCAGATTTTTTTAAAGGATTTGTTTTCTCTCTTGTTTTAGTATTTGGGATGATTATTACCATTGGGCAAGCCATTGTGTATGTTATGACTGGAATGTGTAATCAGCTATTTCGTGTGTAACTGAGACTGGTTAGATACAGCATAGCTGGAAGGAGAAAATCTTTCTATGCCTGGTTGCCATTTATTTATTTTTAATGCTATAAAGCATCTTCCTTTGTATCTGTCTGTCTATATATGAGAAATTCTAAACATTCCATAAAGGAGGAGAAAGTTGGGATAGTTAATATCAAAAATGATTCAGATAGGAATGGCTGTTTGCTTCACAATATGGGAATTGGTAGACTTTGAAAGCAGTAGCTGCTGTTCAGTACCGTGCAGGACTTCTCACTAAATGGCACCGATGCAGCTTTGAGACATTATCCTGTAGAGCAAAGCAGTAAATGCACAAATTTAAACACTTTTTTGAAAAAATTGCTTACTGAGTAGTCTGTTCGTTAGTGTCAGTGTTGAAAAGTCACTGAGATCATTGCCAGGTGAGATGCGCAGGCATTTGTACGTGAGAGGGCAAAAATACTGCATGAAAGATATTCAGGTGAAAAACTTAATGGTTGCTCTCTAACATGATGAAAATACTGAAGCAGGGAATTAATATGTAATTCTTGACTTGATTTACTCTTGTTTCTGCTCTGTTTTGTTTCTTTTCCCACAGCTGTTTGTTGCTGGTTTGATTGTGTTGCTGTTAGATGAGCTGCTACAGAAAGGTTATGGCTTGGGGTCTGGTATTTCCCTGTTTATTGCTACCAATATCTGTGAAACCATTGTCTGGAAGGCGTTTAGTCCCACTACCATCAACACCGGTAGAGGTACGTGTGCAATCACAATTAGTCACAACGTGTTTCTGTGGATGTGTACAATACATAAACTCTGAGGTGTTTGTCAGATGGATATTAAAAAATGTTTTAATGTGTGATGATTAACTTCTAAGATCAGTTTTCTAACACTGAAGATGAAAATGTCTGACTCAAGATTAATAAGCTACAAGTTTGCCTTTGCTGATTTGAATTCCAGTAGATAAAATGTGACTTGAAGCCCCTTGACTGAAGATTTTTGGATTTCCAAATCGAAATAGTCTTGTTTTAGCATCATTTAATTGATAGAAATAGAGAAGATAAGCAATTCTGTATGTTCAGAGGAGCTGTTTATGATCCAACTGTTGGTGGTGGTTATAGGATACTTTTATTGTTGGCGCCTCCAAGTTACTTTAGGCTGGTTTGATTCTGCAGAGGCTACCATCTCTTCATTCCTCAGCCACTTCATTCCTCAGTTCGTTCTCCTAAGATCCTGGAAATACCACGTTAAGATACAGCCTGTTTGCATCAGGAAGTTAACTAGTTTAATGCAGACACTTGAAATCCTGACCCTTGCTTTTAATTTGCTTTCATTTTCACCCGATTTTTAGTAGTTCTGTCTATTGCATTTTATTACTGCTTTTCTAAAACTATTTTTCTCCTCATTTATTACTTCTTCCTTCCAATCATCCTCTTGCCCCCAGAAAAGAAAGAAAAAGAGTATTCTTTCAAGTGTGCGATTTGGTTTTTGGTTGTGGTTCTTTTTTTTTTTTTTTTTTTTTTTTTTTTTTTTTGAACCAAGAATAAAGTTTTGGTAGATTCTACATTCTATAAGCTAAAACAGAATCCTATATTGTGCTTTATTTGTTGTAACAGGATTTATGTCCTATTGTATCTGATCTTACTTGTATCATTCTTAAAGTTTCCAAAAGAAGGATAGTATTTTTAAAAATGTTTTTAATTTACAGATTAAAATTTCTTTTACTTCTTTTGCTTCTTGCAGGAACAGAGTTTGAGGGTGCTGTGATTGCATTATTTCATCTTCTGGCAACACGAACTGACAAAGTCCGGGCTTTGCGGGAGGCTTTTTACCGACAGAATTTGCCCAATCTCATGAATCTGATTGCTACAGTATTTGTATTTGCTGTAGTCATATATTTTCAGGTAAAACGTGAAATTCCTCATAGTAGCTCTGCAGCTGCCTAGGTGGAAAAGCATGGACACTAGACACTGCAGTCATGGGGAAAAAATGCAAAAGTTTAAACTAGAGTAACTGAGGTGTCTTAGCTTTGAGTAAGGAACTCTTTTTAGTTCAGTATTTTTATTTCAGTAACAGTACAGGTGTTAAATTTTATAGCCAGATGTACTCGTACTCAGACGGTGATGTAATCTCACATTCCATTAAATGCCATATACACTATGAGAATATTTTTACTAAAACTGGACTCTGGAACTGCAGTGGTTGCATCACACAAATAATATACTGGATATTCATAGCTGACTTAAAAGAATACCTTTGGACAGAGCTAACGAACCTTGCTGCTCTGGGGTGTGCACGATACAGATTTGTTCTAGAAAACAGCTGTGTAATTAATGCCCAGTTTACTGTTTTTTCCCTTATTTTCTTGAAATACTTAGCTAATATTTCTTTCTAAATTTAAGTATTTACTAAAATGGACAGTAAAGGAGATCCGGGGTGTGTGGGCATGTGTCGCTAAAACGTGTGGGGGGGGTTTTTTGTTTGTGGTGTTTTTTGTTTTTTTTTTTTTTCTTAAGCTGTTGAGTCAGAGTGCTGACAAAAAAATGAATTACCCGGTTGGCAAATCCATGTGTTTTTTCTTGGGTCTGCTCAGATAGGAGCCTGCCACAGAAAACAGAAGGCTGGGCTTACTACACAAAAATCTGCTGTTAGGTGGCTAGTTAAGTTAAAAGCCGTTAAAGGCTTTTATCAAACCCTACTCTATAAAATGTATTTTAGAGGAATATCATTTAGCAGATGAGAAATGGTGTTTATGTGAAAAGAACATAATGCAACCAAGCAGTAACACTTGCAAATCCTTAAAATTTGTAATCCAGGCTGTAGCAGAAAGCCTTTGGGTTTTACCGCCTCGGACCTTGTGCTCCTTGTTTATCTAGCAAGAGCTCTGGGGTGAGGAGTAGCTTCCAGGCATGCCAGGAGTACCGCCTGTCCTGGAAATAACCTTGGTGCGTTTGTGTTCTTTCCCGCAGGGGTTTCGTGTTGATTTACCTATCAAGTCTGCACGGTATCGTGGACAGTACAGTAGCTATCCCATCAAGCTCTTCTATACCTCCAACATTCCCATCATTCTGCAGTCTGCCTTAGTTTCGAACCTCTACGTTATTTCCCAGATGCTGTCTGTTCGTTTTAGTGGCAACTTCTTGGTGAACTTACTAGGACAGTGGGCAGTAAGTATTTTACCACTTTCGTAACTGCATAAAATTTTATATTACTTCATTGTGAAACTCCCGTATTTAACCAGCAGAAAACTGGAAGACTTACTTTTTAACATTTGTATGTAAAAGCTGTTTTAAACATCGAATAGGAATTCCTCTGTAAATACAGGACAGGAATGTGAGAGATGTGTGAGAAATAGCTAATTGCCCTTTTCTTCCCCTCTCGTAGGACGTCAGTGGCGGTGGCCCTGCTCGCTCTTACCCTGTCGGTGGCCTGTGCTACTACTTGTCCCCTCCGGAATCCATGGGTGCAATATTTGAGGACCCTGTCCATGTAATAGTTTATATAATATTTATGTTGGGATCCTGTGCGTTCTTCTCAAAGACTTGGATTGAGGTGTCTGGGTCATCAGCAAAAGATGTAGGTGTTCCGATAAACGTGCCTGCCTAAATGTTTTCAAATGCTGTCTCTAATTAATTTAGAACTGACTGAGCAGTTACTGCTTTGACTAAGTATCAGGTGACTCTGAAACACCCCAGCGGTTTCATAAAATTGTGGGTTTTGCAGGTTGCCAAGCAACTGAAAGAACAGCAAATGGTGATGAGAGGCCACAGGGACACCTCAATGGTTCACGAGCTGAACAGGTAAGGGAAGGTGGAATTCCGGCGGTGCTGCTGTGCTGGGTGGTTGCGAATGCTGGGGAGGTGTCAACTAGAGCAGACGTTCTCAGAAAAATCTGAGACCCGTTTCCACTGCAAATGTCACGATTCTTCCCGTTCAGCCGTCGCCTTTCCTAGTAAGGCAGAAGATGTTTATAGCAATAGGTAAGAGATTAACTTGTAGTGTCTTTTGTTTAAGTGGCATAACGAGGAAATTTGGGTTGAAACCCTTCCATGTTTGTAAAAGGAAGATACCTTGATTTTTACAGGTGTTTAATTTACTGTTACTGAATTAAGATGACACTACAAACGCGGTATTTTATGCAGTATTGCAAAGCCTGCAGATCTATATTGAAAGGTAGATTTATCCCTACATATTTTAAGTCAAAGCAGTTAATTCTTGCTCCTGTGGAGGTCACATAGCATGCACATATATAGAATTGTTACGCTTTGAATTGAAAAGCTTTGCCAGTGTCCGGTCGTTCACACAGCTCTCCTATCAGTGAATATTTATTTTAGTTTCTACTTTGTGCAAATACAGGAGACAGTAAGAGCTCTCATGGCAGTCACGTTGGCAATGCCAAACGCTGTTGCTCAATATTCTAGTTGGTTGGTTCAGTAGTAGTTGTGGTGTTAGAATCCTTGGATGAAAATTCATGGTTATGAATACTTTTTTTTTTTTGTTGTTGTTGGTACAGGTATATCCCTACAGCAGCTGCATTCGGTGGTTTGTGCATTGGTGCCCTTTCAGTACTGGCTGACTTTCTAGGAGCCATTGGGTCCGGCACTGGCATTCTGCTTGCAGTCACTATTATTTATCAGTATTTTGAAATATTTGTAAAAGAACAAGCTGAAGTTGGAGGAGTAGGTGCATTATTTTTCTAGATGTCCAAATATTTCATGGTTTGTGTGAAAGGGAAAGTATTTTGACAACATGCGTCGTTTAGTCCAATAATGCTATTTTCTTTTTACTTGTTTTGAAGTGCTACATGTCCCATTACCGTAATGGGCACTGAGCAATGCCTGTGTGCAGCATTAGTACCAGCTGCCTTAAGAATAAAGTTTACATTCTCTTGTTTAAGTATTATCTAGTGTTGCCTGTAATGCTGGAAACCAATTCATCTACCTTGCTGGTCAAACACTACAGTGAGATGGTAAAATGTATCAGTTTGATACCGGTAAATGTTTTTGCACACAGCATTAAAATGTTACATTTATTTCCCTGTCCTCAATAGGAAGAAATAAAATCTGAGTTCAGATTGCCAGGTGCCAGTATTCTTGACAAAATTTATTTGTAGCCTCTATTTTACGTTCACTTTTTTATACTTTTGTAACTTGCATTTCCCCATCACTGAACTCGGCACTCCTTATTCCTTTGCGGTGTCTCCACCCAGGCACCTTTCTCTTAGCTCTAAGGGTGGACAAGCAAATATTTTACCGGAGGAGACTGATACTCATCTCACCTGTGAACTGGGTCTGGGGTGGATTTGCTGCATCGCTGGGCCTGGGGCGCTGCGGTTTCTTGCCCTGGGCCTCCTGCGGGACAGCGTGGCAAGCTGCCGTCACGCCAGCCAGCCGGCCCCATAGTTCCGTTTAAACATGTACTTGTGAAACCTGTGCCACTGAACCGTCACGTCCACTTCGCTTTTGTGAGTCTGAAGAGCAAGGCCTGGTTCCTAGAGCA